GGCGGGAGGGGGGCGGTCGCAGCCGCAGGGGACAAACAAGCCCCCCTCGGCCACAAAACCGCGGATCGACATTGGGAAAATCCGTCCGGCACCGGCAAGAGACCTGCCTCGCCGGGCGTGCAGCGCGCGGCTCCCTGCGCCCCTGCGCAGGGGTGCGGAGCATCGGTTCTGCGGTGCCTATTCCAGCCCCCGCTTGTGCGGAGCCCGCAAAAAGCGGCCTCAAATACCTCTTTTTTCTTTTCTTTTAAATTTTTTTTTTTTAATTGAAAAGGAAAAAAATATCCTCACCGCTGTAAGTTAACAAGTGAGTGTTTCTTTTATTTCCTCTCTTCTCTGAGAGTAAGATTCAGGCGACTGGAGCTATTCATTCAAAAAAAGGCTAGCAGTTCGAAAATTTCAGGTTTAGCAATCAATTAGTCCGGCTTTGTACGGAGCTCCGAAGGTGTAAATCCTTCCGAGTTCCTGGATGATTGACTGTTACGGTCTACCGGGTGCATAATATTCAGACCTACACATGTATAACATGCGTACAAAAAGCAGGCATTTAGCAAGGTAAATTACATGCCTGGAAAACGCGTAGGTTTCAGCGCCAGAGCACCGTGAGCTGGTCCCGTCCCCTCTCCTGGTGGCTTGAAGAGGGGGGTGCGACCCTCCACCTCACTCGCACCCCCCGCCAGCCCCTCCGCGCCCGGGAGGGACGGCAGCCTGCAAACCTGCCGAGCCACCGCCGCGCCCGCCCCACAGCGCGGCAAAAAGGCTGCTTGAAAAAAAAGAAGCAAAACCAAAACAAACAAAAAACCCCCAACAACAACACCAACCGAAACAAAACTTCCCCGGGCTCAGTTACCAACTATTTTCCCAAGGAAGTTCTTTTCCTCCAAAAATGTGAATGTGTGTCGTAAGTGGTGGGAGGAGGGAAGAAGGTTCCTTTTTTTATATATAGGTATATACAAATGTACAGGTATGTAAAGATCGGTATCTAGCTATTTTAGGAAGGCACACACGGATGAGCGCACACGTACATAAAAACAATGCTAAGAGAAGGCTGAGGGTAGCGCACAAAAATAACCCGAAGGAGATACGTTTAATTTTGACCTTTCCAGGAGTCCGCCAGGGCCTTGCGCACACCGCCGGGGTTCAAAGTGCGGGAACGCACCGTCCGAAAACAAAAGAGCGGAGCCGAGCGGGAGAACTGCCCCGGGGCGCCGGGGAGAGGGACGCCGTGCCCCCAGGCTGGAAGGACCCCGCTCCCGCAGGGTGGGGGGCGGGGGCTGCCAGGGCCGAGGCCGACAAGGCTGTGGATTGGGATGTGGATTGGGATGTGGATTTGGAGGCAGACGGCGCTGCCCGCTCGCACTCTCTGCGCAGGGGGGCGCGCAGCGGGCTGCCCGGGGCGGCCTTCCCGAGGGCCCTGGGGGCAGGGGCGGGGGTGAGCTCGTTGTTTAACTCCTGTCCCGCTCCTCTTCTCCAAATAGATATTTTTCAAATTCCCTGTTTCGTTGCGGTTCCCCCCCTCCCCGCCTTGCAGCCTCCATTGTTCCAGGTTCACACTGCCACCGCCGAGAAAGGAAAGGGAAGCCCTCAGGGGAAAAAAAAAAGCAACCAATCAAAAAAAAAAAAAAAAACAGAGAGAGAGAGAGAGAGAAAGAAAGACAAAACACGACCCAAGATTTTGATTTACGACCTAATCAAAACATTATATCTTTGGTCAAGTGGCGCAGAAAAATGATGACCCTCAAGGCTTCAGCTAGGGGGAGAAAGAGAAATTCAGATTACACTCGGAGTGATTTATGTCCTCTCTGAGCGGTCACGTTGATTTTTCATCGTTTGAGCCATTACACAGTAGACTGGAAAACACCGATCCTATTTTTTATTTATTTATTTTTTGTCCGGAAACGGTATCTATTATTCTTCTAAACGTATATGCGTATCCTAATATAGATATTCTTTCTCCACGCACACATATATTCTAAATACACACAGGGACATTATATATATATATATATATATTGAGAGAGGACTATAAATAACCAGTGCCACCGAGAAGAAACGAGAGCCGAAAAGAGCGTGTAAAATACCGTGCCGATAATCGGAGCGATCTGCTCGCTGATTTCAGAGCCCGTCTCGCCGAGAGGGTTGGGGCAGAAAAGCACCCCCCTTTATCCGACTTCCCCGATCCTCGAGAAAGGTTCTCGGGCTGCCAGCCCCTCGCCGCCGTCGCCCCCAGACCTTCCGCCCGCAGCCCAGCAAGAGGGACGAGAGGGACATTTTTGGAAGCCCGTGGCACTCACCCGGGTGAGGTGTTGACGCGGTGCGGAAAAACCGAGGGGAGCGGCGTTGGGTCGGGACGGCGGCGAGGCCGGGCACGCCGAGGGGGGGGAGCGCCTGCCTTCCCCACCGCCCC